TGTCTGCAAAATAAGTTTACTAAATAACCAGTTTCGCTGAACGTTTACGACACGACATTGTTAGTAAGAGAAAGACAAAGTAAGATAAAAGACCTAGCAGGATATCTTTTTTATATTAATGGGCGTAAGCTTAACAATGTACTCTGCGCAGACAACACTAAGTTGATGACAGACTCAGAAACTATAAGATAAGGTAGTTGAGGCAAACAAGAAGAAAAAAAAACGCAGATTAATAAATGTAAGAAGACGCGGTTGTCACAAAAGAGAGACAGGGGATGTAAAAGTCAAATAGATACAGAATTTAACTATTCGGGTCGTGTAATAACAGGTGATCGAATGTGTGACAGAGAAAACTAATAGGAATAGCGAAAGATGTCTTTCAGAAATTAAGCAAAATATGAAGAGAAAACAAAATATTTTGTTAGAAATAAAGAAAAGACTTGTGTAATATCTAATTTCCTATATAACAGTAAATGATGGACGATCTACTCAAAGAGACGTCCATGTTCTATCGATGAATGCTAAGAATTCTGTAGGCATAATGCGTGAATAATGAGGAAGCGTTGCGGGAAATAGGAACGAAAGAAAACTCCTACTTTTGATAATAAAGAGAAAGTGGAAATTTATGGAGCGCAAAATGAGGAAAAAGAGCATAGGGAATTTAACACTCAAAGGATGCAGAAAAGGCAAGGGAAGCGGGAAAACGGCGAGTAACATAACGAGTTCCTGTGAATAAATGGCAGAAGAGGAAACGATGACGAAATGGTTAAAAAGTACATAAATCAAGTAAGACAGGATAATGGAAACAGCCATGATAGCTTACGACCTGAAAGAATATGGCGCATGATAAATAATGTTTTATTTTAATGCAAAAAAACAAAATAAATAAATAAAATCACATAACCGTTTCAGTAAAAAGAATGGTAACATATTCTGCTTTATTGGAAGATTGAAACTAAATTTTAGAAATATTTCGACTGACAAGCAAATGAACTTTGACCGTAATTTGGGTAAGAATTCTGATTTTCTAAGCGCAGCATATATGTGGCACAAGGCCGAAAGTGCGGGGCACCCAATAAGGATTGAACTCACTATTCAGTTGTAATTGATCTAGGGAGACAAGATTGTTAACCATTACACAACAGTGAAGTGCACATAGAGATTTTTTAAGTATAACTTAGATGTTTCCAAGGCCGAAAAAATGCTGCACTCAGTAAGTGTCGAAAGCAACCGCCACTCGTAATTGTTCTAGCGAAACAAACTTGCTAAGCATTACACAACGTCCAGGTTCCTTCACGAAGCCGAAAGCATGAAGCACCCAATGAGGATCGAACTCATTACTCAGTCGTAATTGATCTAGCGAACCAAGCTTGCTAAACATAACACCACTTCGGAGTGGACATGTATGAAACAAAATCAAATGCAGCAACCATCCAAGCAATCATGGCCAGCGTTTGTCGTAAATCAACATTCGAAATCCCAAATTCTCTCTCACACTTTCTCTCTCCTCTCTCTCTCTCTCTCTCCATATATATATATATATATATATATACACACCCACACACACACCCACACACATATGTATATATATATATATATATATATATATATATGTATGTATGTATGTATGTATGTATATCAGGCCTGACGATTGCGCCACTAAGTGTTGACTTCAATGTTCACTTTTATATTTACACACACTCCGATATTGAGAGTTTTATCCCATAAATATAGCGCAACTTAAGACTATATTTCTTTATATATATATATATATATATATATATATATATATATATATATATACAAAACGTTGTTTGCAAATTTCTGGCGGGTTGAATTGCGTCATGGTGCTCTTTTTCTCAAAAACGGTTCCCAGCTGATTCTACTATACCGTACAGCAAGGGTCACCCCAGCGTTGTGTAATGGTTAGCAAGCCTTGCTAGAACAATTACGACTGAGTAGTGAGTTTGATCCTCACTGGGTGCCCCATACTTTCGGCCTTGTGCCACATCTAAGGTACGCCTGGAAAATGGCTACTGGGAGCTTGGGGTGGCGTAATGGTTAGCGATGTTAGTTTGGTCACTCATTAGTACTGAATAGTAAGTTCGTTTCTTACTGAGTAGCTTGTTTTAAGAAACCATTTCACCCCAAGCAAGGCAATGAAACCAGTGGGGTTATTAAGTGCGAAAGAAGATAAGAAAAGGAAAAAAAAATTATTAAGGAGCAAGAACAATAAAAGAACAGGAATTAAGAAGACAGAAGATAATGATTGACACTGCATTTAAATTTTTGAGGATTAAACTTGACTGGAAAACAAGAAGCCGGAAGAGTTCCACAAACGAGAAGCGAGCGAAAAGAAGATGTTAGCATAGAATTTACGGTTACATCTAGCCAACTCGATTGTAAATTGATGAAATCTTCATGCCATACTATTAATGCGCTTAAATTCCTAAAGTTTAAGTACTATTGAAAAAGGTTCATCCGAATAATTACTATGAAAATATTTATATAAAAGACACAGAGACGCTAAAATACAGCGGTGGGAGAGTAACTGCAGACGATATGCCAGGTCAGGGCCAGTAACATTGCTGATTCTTCTTGGGATTTTATCAAGGAAATGCAATATTAAATAAGTCATCAAGAATGTTAGTTATGTGTCATCCGTGATACACGCTAAGGCGCTCATGTATTATTCGAGGCAGATTCACAAAGCTATAGACCCCGGTCTGTCCTGCTATTAACTCATAGCTGGGACGAGAACAGGATTCATACCTTTCCCAAGGGTATTAGCATGTAAGTAAATTTAGCGGCTCTCCGATTCCTCAATCCGAGCCGCTATTCATTACTCCAAATCAACTAACCTAAACTACGTTTTGACTCAGGTATAATCCAAACCTATATTTCCTCTTCATTAATTCTTTGCGTTTTTTATCCCATAAGACTTACATTCGACATTAAATAACCCAGTAACAGGGGTAGATATTCTGGCAAATTAACCAACTTCAGTATATAATTTCCCAAGTCTCCTCTTCATCTGTGAGTGAATTGTCCAACATTCAATGGCATGTTGGGGGACTAATATTACGTAACAGCTCAGTATTTTTTTTCTCTAAAGAAATTTTAATGTTTAATGTTTTAATAGGAATATCCGGATGGTGTAATGAGTGCCAGCTCGAACGAGTTCGAATTCCAGTCGGGTCCGTTACATTCACTTACGAGCAAATACCACTGGGAAAAGTATTAAGCCATCGTCTCCTCCCAACTATGGGTTAAATATTAAGACGTGTATCTGAAAAAAATCAATTTTTCTCAAAACATTATTAATATTCTCTCGTAAAAAAAAGAAATTATTTTTACTATCTGTTGTGGTGTCTTCCCTCTAATGAGGTTATTGTGGACTCTTCCACTTACTATAAAGTTAGTAGGAAGGTAAGTCTCGGGGGAACAGTGATAGACTGTTCATCTGTCAAACTCTCTGCCTTGAGCAGAGAGGAACCGGGATGAGGCTTTGCCGAAGGGCAAAGTTTCGTACGGGGAGGCAGACATGGCCTGAACCCGTTTATACGGGTTGAAAGGGAATATTTTTGTCTGAGACTACAGGCTCGGAAAACCCACGCTAAACTCGGCCTTGTGCCACATAGATCCCTCGGGGGGAGGTGCTGTTAAATATTAACAGTGATAGGCTGTTCTCCCGAGGCAGTGATTGTTCGCAGCTGCTGCCGAACTCTCTGCCTTGGGTAGAGAGGAACCCGGACGAGGCTGTGCCGAAGGGCAGTGTTTCGTCCGGGGAGGTAGACAGCCCCGAACCCGTTTATCCGTTTATGTGGGTTCTATGGGGATCTTTTGGCCTTGTATCACATATAACCCTCTCGTGGGTGGGGGGCTGTTAAATATAACAGCGATGTAGACTGAACGCCAGTCAACCGACACACACTCCCAAGTCGCGTAACACACTTCTGTTGTATTTACTGCTCAATACACTATTTATCTGCAATCTCTTGTTTTGTTATTTCTTAACAATATATTTGGTCTCAATACTATCCAATAAATGCTTCGGCTTTAAATAGCTCACAAAGGGTTGATAAGCCGTAAAAAGCAAATTAGTGAATAATCAGAAAGAGACAGTTGAAATTTCCGTGACACAAACACGGATGGCTGTTTCAGCTACATAATCTCTTATCCATAATCCTTAGCATGAGACACTTCTTGAATTCCGAATTTTTCAAACTTGGGAATGGAAACATCAGTATATTTGATTTTATATATATATATATATATATATATATATATATATATATATATATATATATATATATATATATATTGTGTGTATTTCAGGAGCATTGTTTCATTCATACCTGTTTCATTAAATAATATAGACAAGTGTTGTTTTTATTTTATGTAAATTCTTTTCATAACGTCTGATAAGCTTAATAACATTATCATTAAACGAAGAAAGAAAATCACAATATTGATCCATATTTTTTAATCCAATCTAAGCTTTTGGCTTACATGTTGCTTGGAAATCATCCATGCAAACAGAAACAGACTATCATCACATTCTCGTCCGTATATTGCTTAATATGTTGTACAGTAATTGACATCTTTGATAATGGCTTATGTAAGCCGAAAGCTTAGATTGTATTAAAAATATGGATTTTACCTAAAATAAATAGACAACACTTGTCTATATTATTTAATGAAACACACACATATATATATATATATATATATATATATATATATATATATATATAGACGATTATGAAACAAATGACAATGATTTGTTTCTTACGGCTTCTCAACATTTTTAGACTATTTAAAGGTGGGACATATTGTTGTATTATAAGAATATTTTTTCCAGTGAATATTGTATTAATATTTTTTTAGATAATAATGATTTCTATATATAAGTTCAACTATCGGGGGAAGAGGTAGGTTCATACTTTTCCCAGGGATATTTGCGAGCATTTATCCATTACACCATTCGCACATCCGAGCTTACAGTACCTGGTATTTTCAAGCAGTCACCCATCTAGGAAATAACCAGGCTCGGCGTTGCTTAACGTCAGTGATCGGATGAGAATCGATGTTTCAACTTGATGTGGCTGTCAGTCCAATTTATTTGCATAGTGGTATATATAAAACAATGATCATCCCTAAATACACTTGTAGACATAGTAAAAGCTGTGACTGTCCGTAGCCTCTGTCGAACTCTCTGCCTTGGCTGCCGAAGGGCAGAGTTTCGTCCGGGGAGGTAGACAGACTCGAACCCGTTTATGGTCTGGAGCCTCTTTCTCTTTATCTCAAGGTTTTTGATAAAATCCAGAGACGGATATTCAATGTAATTGGCACTGATCTGGCATCTCGTCTGCAGTCGCTCTCTCACAGACGTGCCGTCGCCTCCCTCTCTCTTTTTTTTTACAAATACTTTCACGCTAACTGCTCCGAGGAGCTGCTTTCGCTGGTTCCCAGATTCATGAATTTAAGCATTCAACTAGGCTGGCATCTCGCTCTCAACCTTTCACAGTTAAATGTAGCCGTCTCTTCTACTCCAATAGCTTCATGTCTCGCACCTCTCGCCTGTGGAACTCCTTCCACTTTTCCTGTTTCCATGATATCTATAATCTCAATCTGTTCAAATGTAATGACAATCGACGTCTCCAGATGGCTTGATCTATCCCCTATCCTTCTCTTCATCCTTTCCTCTATCACTTCTATTTGCTCTCGCTCCAATTCTCTGTAACCCCTTGCTTGGGGTGAAACGCTTAAAAAAATGTTTCGAAAACCGAACCTTTTTGCGTGGTAAAAGTTTGATTTCGGGAGGCGTTTTTATCATTAGCATTCGAGATACTTAAGCATCAATATTCTGGGTCTTTCGCCAGTTCAAGAGTGAAGAATAACATGTAGTTGCATCGTAGCGGAACAATAGATAGAAAGTTGTTCTGAGTAGAATTAGCTCAGTGCTAAAATGATCGAAGCCTTACGTTAATCATATGCTTGATTTCATTTTCTAGTCAATAAATTCCGGCATCAGCTTAAGCAATAAGCAGTTGTAGTATAGTGTTATTGACTGCCTGGAAGAAGTATGCATTCAACTGCCACAGGGGTAATCGCTGTAGCTATTTATAGTATTTGTGACTTTCTATGTAAATGAGTCACCTCATCTCTTTGTATCGAAAAGGTTTTATCTCCTTATCTTCCTTGGTACTTCTGGGGGCTTTTGTCGCCTCACTATCTCCAGAGATTGTCTAGATATCGTAGATCTCGACCTTCTTTTTTCATAGGAGTGTTCCTTCAAGAAATTTTCATCTTCAGAGTCTATACTGCTCTTGATTTCACTGCCACGTTTGTTTTGCCTTGCCATATTTTTCGCCATCATTACTTTCAGACTTACTATACATTTCTTCATCAATATCATTTATCTTGGTCCCCATGCACTAATATCCCATTTCCATTTTTTTCTATTATCATAGTGTTCTGTTCACTTTGTAATATGAATCTTGCCTCTTGTAGATTAGATTCACTATTCTTTTTATACTGTGGGGTAGTTAATGGTGTTGGTTAGAAAAGAATCAGAAGGGTTTTTGATCGAGATTGAGTTTTTACATTAACACTCCACTTTGAAATTTGTAAAGAAAACACAAGAATGAATGACAAGAGATCAATGAAATTCAACAAGTAAACATGTATTTAAAACAAGCACATACATATAATTCTGTTAAGATTAAGTCACACGAAGTGGTTTCCCTTGTATTGTGTAAAGAACAAATGTATGTTGTAATAATGTATTTTATTTAAATTTGTTGGTAGTTTAAGAATGTTTGATGTTTGAGTTTGAAAGTTGAAATATTTGTGCAGAAGAATGATATAGTTCGAATAATTGACTTGGCTTGTAAACAGACAGTACACTGTGTTGTGTGAGTGTAGTTTATATCTGTCTGTGTTTGTGAGTAGAAAATTGAATATACACGTACGTGGTTTAGGTTGTGAAAATTTATAATCTACTGAAGTTATTTCTTTAATTTCTACTTTTTTATAGATGTAAGGTGGCTCCCAGAACGAGCGCGGGAAAGATATTGAAGAAAGTGTCATTTAATGTGATTGGCCAAAAATCGAGCAATCGTTGATTTTTTTTTCTATAGCTAGTTTGGTAAAGCAAAAACACGAGAAATTTTTATGTGGCCCGTGCGATGCGTAAATGATCTGTACAAAAGGTATTGTTTATTTTCCGTCCAATTACTGTTGAGTAATTCATGGGCGTGGTGTACGTAGGCGTCCACTACAATACCACAGGTTTTCATTGGTGGCATAAGACATAGTCAATGGGGCTCTAATTTGTCTATCCGTGAGGGCTTTACAATCTTCCAGCAGGTGGAATTGTCCTATAGCTTAGCAACAATCTAGGAAGAAATGTTTTTCTCTTTCCTTTCCCATTTTAGACATATTTTCAATCCATTTTTTATAGTTTGCACCATCCTTTCTGCTAATCCGTTTGATAGCTGATGGTAGGAGTGAGGTTTTATATGGTTTGCATCCAATTCTGTTCAACCATTCACATAATTCCTCCTCACAGAACTCTGGGGTGTTGTCAGATACTAGAGTTTAGGGAATTCCATATCTTGAAAATATGATCCATAAACACTTGTTTCACGATGGAACTTCTTTTGCCGGAGACCAGTATTACCTCTGGCCAGCCTGAATAGGAATCTACCAGAAGTATTACTGAGTCACGGGAAGTAGTATGTACTCAACTGCTTATGGGTAATAGCTATAGCTATTTATAATCTTTGTGACTTCCTATGTAAATGAGTCACCTTATCTCCATGTATTAAAGTGGTTTTATCCCCTTATTTTCCTTCGTACATTTTCTGGGAGATTTTGTCGTCTCAGTATCATCCTCCACCTTCCTAAGAGATGGTCTAGATAACAGAGATCGTGATCTTCTTGTTTTCTTTTTCGTATGAGTGTTCCCTCAACTATTGTTCAGAGTCTTTGACTCACAATTTCACCGTCTAGATCGTCTTGCTTTGACGTAACACTTTCGCCTTCATTACTTCCAGGCTCACCGTACACTTCTTCATTGCTCTTGTGTTGCAATCTAACTTGATCTGTTGGCACTAATATCCTATTTCCATTATTTCTCTTATAGTCGTCTATCCATTTCGCATTATGAATCTTGCCTCTAGAAGATTAGAGTCACTATTCTTTTTATACAATAGTTTTTCATTGGCAATGGGGCTCTAAAGTGTCATGAAGGCAGACAGGATTTTCGATCTTCCTACATGTGGTATTGTTCAATAAATTAGCAACAATCTAGGAAGAAATATTTCTACCTTTTCTTTCCGTTGTACACGTTTCCATTCTGTTTTTTTATAGTTTGCGCCATCTTTTCTGCGAATCTGTTTAATTCCGGATGCAACAAGAACGTGGTTTGCATCCAATTTTGTTCATCCATTGGCGCAGTTCCTCGTCACAAAACTCTAGGACATTGTCAGATACTAGCGTTTTCTGAATTCCGTTTCTTGAAAATATGATCCTTAACGCTTGTTTCACGGTCGAACTTATTTTGTTAGAAACCTGTATTACTTTTGGCCAGCCTGAATACGAATCTAACAGTATTAGTAATAATCTCACTCCATTAACATGATTCATCTGTACTCTGCCTCAAGGTTGGGAAACCTTAGGTCATATATGTGTTTTTGTCTGTCTAAATTTTCTTTCATTGCACATTTTACACCTTTTTTTATGTATTCTTCTAAATTTGTAGAATTGACTGGTCACTATGCCTCTAGCCTTAATCTCCTTTGCTGAGACGTTATTCTGCAATGAACATCGTCATGTATACCTTTTATAATTTTGCTTCTTTGCATTACTGGTGGAGCCACTGCGTCTCAATTACAAATTACAGCCTTTTTCAACGGTTAACTTGTGTTTAACCTCTTTAAAATGCCTTTCTGTCCGTAAGCGATTATTCCACTTATCATTTTTCATCCTGAACAATATGGAATCTCCCTTCGTATCCTCGCCTATTTTGTCGATAGACAAAATATCACTATCGCCCCAGTGTAAGAAAGTATCTTTGAATTTTTCCTCCTCTTTCTCACTTTCAGAATTAATGAACCTCAATCTCAAGAATGCGTCTACAATCGGAACGGTATTGCTTTTCAGGTACTCAATATCAAAGTCAAACGCCATAACATTAAGGCCTATCTTAGAATTCTAGAAGATGTTACCTTAGGAATTTCCTTTCTAGGATTAAATATGAATTCTAAAGGTCTATGACCGGACCATAATAGGATTTTCTATTTGTCGTCCATATTATGGCCAACGCTTCTTAATATTTGAGTTGTCCAATTAGGCTTTTGACAATTTTCCTCGAAAGATATATAATAGGATAACAATCCTCAGCTAATATTCCCTCCATTGAGTGTTCACTTACATCAGTTGTTATTATTCTTTCCTTTCTAAGGTAGAATATTTTTAATACTGGTTTCTTTGACAGAACAGATTTTAAATTTTCAAATGCCACTTGTTCTTTGTCCAAATAAATTCCACATACATTTTTCTTAAAGCAGCAAAAGGTTCTGTCAATTCGGAGTAACGCTCTACATATCGTGTGTAGAAATTTTAAAAGTCCTAAGATTCCAATGCATTTTTTGTTCTTAGATAATTCGACTTTTATTAGTTTATCAATTAACGATTGGTCTGGTGATATGCTTTCATTAATATGGAATATCCGAAAGGTGATAATATTTAAGTGTTGTGCACGCATTTTTTTTTTTCGTTAATTGTTAATCCAGCATTTTTTTTAACTTATCCAACTTATCTTACTAATTTTACATTTTAGTTATTCATCGTTAATAGCACCAAAACAAATCTCATTCTGGTAGCATATTGTATTTTTTTTTATATATCGCTAATAATAACTTGCTCTATAGTCCTTTTCAAAAATCGTACTTCCGGTTTAAATTCCAAACGGCATTCTTTTCCATCTTAACAAGCCTATTGGCGTGTTTATTGTTGTAACTTCTTTAGAGTTTAGAGGATGCTTTCATACCTGCAAGGAAATTCAAAACCCTGTTCTAGATTAGGAATAAGATAGGGGTCTG